GTTCTCAATCATCCCAGAGTGCAGATATTCTATCCCTTGCTCTTTCTTTCTCTCAAGTCTAGTTTATGCAGTTGCAGGATTCCTCCACATAGGTAGGACACCTTTGACATCCACAGGCCAGGGTTGTGGAGGTCCTCATGGGAACTTAAAATGGAATTTCCCAGACTTCAGTGGCCAGGCATCCTCTGTTAACAAGGGGAAGTGTTGATTTTAGAGAGTTTCTACTCTTTGAACAGTTATCCAAGTCTGATTTAAAAGTACAAAACATGAAGCAAGAGGGGGATCAGGAACCTTAAAAGTTGCACATCATCTACCACAGGCAGCCCCCGGACAGCACACTCAGGAGCAAAACTCAAAGGTTGTCTGGTCTTTGTGTTCTCCACTAAAACATTGATTTTCAATTCTTAGCCTTTCAAGGCATTAGAGAACTTCATGTCCCAGTATCCTTTACCCATATTGGTCATATTGAGTGAGGTTTCTGGAAGTGAAAGTCCGAAAGACCCTAGACCAAAGTTGAGAACCATTATTTAAAGCCTTTAAGGCCAGGATTTTGGATCATGGCCAGAACTGAACTGGTAATCATTGGTCAAATATATTCCTTGCCCAAGCATACCAGTTAGTAGCCTCGCAACGGCAGGTTGCGAACAGTCTTTATGCTCAGCCCCCGTGTGGAAACGCACTGCAGTAGTCTAACACCTGTCTGGTTCCCCCTCGCTCCATCCCTTGGCAAAATGCACAAAAGCGAGAAGAAAGCTGGAAGATGTCAAAGAGGTGGGAAAGCTGTGTACACAGCATGTGTGTGAAAGGCCAGTGTTTTCTCAGAACAACAAAACGAAAAAGATTTTCCCACCCTCCCATTATGCTTTTTTAAAATATATATATATATACAGTATACCAAAAAAATTATATTACTCGCACTGCATCTTCTTTGTATATTCCAAGCTGGGGGCTCTTTGGTTAGGAAGCACTGGCTTCCAGGTCTATTGTGGTCTGAACAAAAGACCAGCACGGGCGCATCGCTCTGCCATGATGCTTCCTCCATCTTCATAAGTGCCTGGTGTTTCTCCTCCATCAGAAACACAAAGTGCTCGGAGCAACCTGTGGCAAGCTGAAAAATGGCCCACGTTAACCAGAATTCTTGCCTCCCTCTGCCTCCAGCCAAGAAAAACCTTCTCGCTTGACCACTTCAAAATGTTTCCAACCTGTGCTGAAATTTCCCACTCTCTCAGAGCTAGAACCCTCTTTTCAGGGCTTTCAAACATCCTCTTTTGAAGTTCATACTGTAGACTGGCAGGCCTATTAAACCAAGAAATATTACCAATAGACAGAAGGAAAGCGGGTGGGGGACTCTGCGCCCTAGATCTCAAATCCATCACATCTACATTATATGTGAAAAGTTATGGATGGGAATAAAGAAAGTGGTTGGATTTCATCATTGAATCATATAATCAATGAAATTAGAAGAGGCTTCTAAGGCCATCAAGTCCAACTCGTCACTAGGTGTAGGAATACACTCAAAGGATATCTGTCAGGTGGTTGTCTAAGTTTCTCTTGAATAGTTCCAGCATTGGAGAGCTCACCCCCTCCCCTTGAGGTCATGGGTCCCACTGTCATACTGCTCCAACAGTTAGGAAGTTTTTTCCTGAGATTCAGCCGAAATCCGGCTTCCTGTCGCTTGAGCCCATTATTGTATGACCTGCCCTCTGAGATGATTGAGGACAGATCCTGCCCCTTCTCTATATGGTAGCCTTTCAAGTATTTAAGAAATACTAACATATCTTCTCCCTCAGTCTTCTTCTCTCAAGGCTAAACAGCCCCAGTTCTTTTGCTGTTTCCTCCCAGGGCTTGCTTTTCACTCCCCTGATCATCCTCCTTCTTGCCTTCCTCTGAACTTTCCCCTGTTTGTCAGCATCCTTCTTGAAGTGTGGTGTCTAGAACTGAACACAATGCTCAAAATGAGGCCTAACCAGTGTCAAATAGAGGGAAACAAGTAATACTTCACAGGATTTGGAGATTATATTTCTGTTAATGCAGCCTAAAATGCTGCATTTGCCATTTTTGTGGCCACATTGATTGGTTGGCTGATATACAGCTGTTGTTTAGTCGTTTAGTCGTGTCTGACTCTTTGTGACCCCATGGACCAGAGCACGCCAGACCCTCCTATCTTCCACTTCCACGTTCTTCCACTGCCTCCCGGAGTTTGGTCAAATTCATGTTGGTAGCTTCAATGACACTGCCCAATCATCTCGTGCTCTGTCATCCCCTTCTCCTCTTGCCTTCGTACTTTCCCAGCATCAGCATCTTTTCCAGGGAGTCTTCTCTTCTCATGAGATGGCTAATGTATTGGAGCCTCAGTTTCATGATCTGTCCTTCCAGTGAGTACTCAGAGTTGATTTCCTTCAAAATGGATAAGTTTGATCTCCTTGCAGTCCAGGGGACTCTCAAGAGCCTCCTCCAGCACCACAATTCAAAAGCATCCATTCTTCGGCGGTCAGCTTTCTTTATGGTCCAGCTCTCACTTCCGTACATCACTACAGGAAAAACCATAGCTTTGACTATGCGGACCTTTGTCGGCAAGGTGATGTCTCTGCTTTTTAAGATGCTGTC